ACTGATAATTGCGCGGTCATGCAATGCTGCACATAAACAAAATTTACTTCCTTTTTTCACACAAATAGAGCTTTCTTTTGGTGGTATTTGATCACCTGTGCGCTTTTTATTTTTCATGCTATAAACAAAAAAAGACCAAAACTTTTGAAGAAAAACGTTATTTTTTACTTTAAGCTTTAATTAATATATAGTAAACTCAAAGTTAGTTATAAATTTAGGCCAAAATGTATTCTGCTCCATGTTTTTGGTAAAAAAAATCCCAATAAGTGTATATTGATTGCTTTGTGTGGAAGTTATAGCGTCTACAAACTATGGTATAGATACTGCAATTTACCCCATTTTTTGCTATACAGCGCTGCGCTAGTTTAACGGACAATTGCGCGGTCATGCAATAAGGTACATAAATGAAATTTATGTCCTTTTTTCACACAAATAGAGATTTCTTTTGGTGGTATTTGATTACCTGTGCACTTTGTATTTTTGGCGCTATAACCAGAAAAAGTTTTGAAAAAAAAAAATTTTTTTGAAAAAAACAATATTTTCTTATTTCGGTCATAAAAAATATACAAAAAAAACTAAAATTTCGTCATAAATTTAGGCCAAAATGTATTCTGATTAAAAAAATCCCAATAAGTGTATATTGATTGCTTTGTGTGAAAGTTATAGTGTCTACAAACTATGGTATAGATAATGGAATTTACATAGCTTTTACTTTCTGACTGTCATCACATTTCTTGAGGTGCTAAAATACCAGGATAGTACAAACAACCTCAAATGACCCCTATCTGCTGAGAGGTATATTGAGTCCATGGAAGATTTATTTTTTCCCCACAAGTTTCTGGAAAATGACAAAAACATTTTTTTTTTTTTTACACAAAGTTGTCATTTAAATGATTTTTTTCTCGCACAAGCCATGGGTATATGTGGAATTACACCCCAAAATACATTCTGCTACTTCTACTGAGTATGGGGATACCACGTGTGTGAGCCTTTTTGGGAGCCTAGCCACACACAGGAGCCTGAAATCTAATGACCACTTTGAAAGCCTGAAGGTGCATAACTTCCTCATTACACTTCCTCACTACCTATCACAGTTTTGAAGGCCCTGACATTCCAGGATAGCACCAAACCCCCCCAAATGACCCCTTTCTGGAAAGTAGACATCTCAAGGAATTTAAAAAGAGGCATGGTGAGTATTTTGCAGATCTCATTTTTTCTCACAAGGTTTTGAAATATAAAAAAAAATAGAAAAAATATGTTTTGTTTTTTTTTCTTCATTTTCCAGAAACTTGTGGCAACAAATGAGATCTGCAAAATACTTACTGTGCTTCTTATCAAATTCCTTGGGGTGTCTACTTTCCAAAAAGGGGTCATTTGGGGGGGTTAGGTGCTATCCTGGCATTTCAGGGCCTCCAAAACTGTGATAGATAGTCTGGAAGTGTAATGAGGAAATAAAGCCCTTTAAAAGCCTGAAGGTGCTTATTGGATTTTGGGGTCCTGTACTTGGATAGACTGCCAAAACGTCTCCCACATGTGGTACCCCCATACTCGGGAGAAGTAGCAGAATGTATTTTGGGGAGTAATTTCACATATAACCATGGCATGTATGAGCAATAAATCATTTAAATGACAATTTTGTGTAAAAAAAAATATTTTTTTTTGTCATTTTCCAAAAACGTGCGATAAAAAAAATTAATTATTCTATTGATTCAACATTCCTCTCAACAAATATCTTGGGGTGTCTACTTTCCAAAAAGGGGTCGTTTTGGGGGGTGGGGGGGGCATTTTATGCCCAGCATTAGTAGTTTATGCCACACATCATTCACTCTTTTAACCACCTGAAGATCAAGCCTTTTCTGACACTTTTTGTTCACATGAAAAAAATCTGTATTTTTTGCTAGGAAATTAATTTAAACCCCCAAACATTATATATGTTTTTAAAGCAGACACCCTAGTGAATAAAATGGTGGGTACTACAATTTTTTATGGCACATGGTATTCGCACAGCAATTTTTTTTTACTTTTAATGCACAAAAACACAATATATTGGCCAATTATTAGGTAAAATATAAAAGATAATGGTATGCCGAGTAAATAGATACCAAACATGACATGCTTTAAAACTGTGCATGCCCCGTGCAATGGCGACAATCTGCAAACATTTTTAATATCCATAGGCAACGATTTAGAAGCCTTTAAAAGCCACCATTTTAGATTTACAGAGGAGGTCTAGTGTTAGAATTACTGCCCTTGATCTGACGTTCATGGCAATACCTCACATGCATGGTGCAACCGCTGTTTACATAACGGCACAGGGTCAAGGCTTGTGCACACAGGTGTGTGCACATGGGAGGGGCGATTTTTTTTATTTTTTTTTAAATTATTTTGATTCTTCTTTATTATTTTTACACTGTACCTTTCTTTTTTTTTTTTTTGATCACTTTTAATACTAACAGGGAATGCAAATATCCGCTAAAACTTCAATGGGCATTGTCATATTCTTTTTTGATAAATCTGGGGTCTATTAGGCTCTAGATATCTCTTCTGCCTTTACATTATCTAATCAAACCAAAATCGGTGTGATCCGATGCTTTCCCAATTTACAAATGGCGCTGTTTATATCCTGCAAAACTGAAGTGATGAAATGCTCATAGCTTCCGAATTCTTAGACTATAGAGAGGATTGGCACCATTCTGGTCTCTGGTATGTGAAAGACCAGGATGTACTAGACCGCTGGTACTCGCCAGTTCACCAAGAGGTAGCGCGGCACTAGTACTGGCACTCTGCTGCATATGAGAGTCATCAAAATTTACCGACATGTGCTAAGAGAGATCAGGCCTGATTCTGTGAACGCTGCGGTTTTGTGTGCAATGTATCAAGTGACAGCGACCTACTGACACTGCACTTGCTAGGGGAGAAGGGGGCAGAGCGGGGGTTAAATGCAGGTGCTGGCAGGTCCCGGGGCTGATCCCGCTAACACTGCAGTTTTGGGGACGCTATACTAATGTGAACGCTGGTATAGTGCTGACCTGATCAAAGATATTGACCCGTTCAGACACTATACTAGCAATGGAGGTTTATTGTACATGAGCGTGCTCCTGGCAATCAAGGGGTTAAATGTGATGACCGGTGTACTGAGGGCAATCTGACGCCATCTGGGAAAACCACGGGGCGCGAATCACGTATATATATATATTTTATGTGATTTTGCGCACCTGTGCCGCCCGGTAGTAGTATTTCTGCTATAGGGCGGTCAGGAAGCGGTTACAGAAGCGGTTTGTGTTACGTCGCTGCGTTACTTTAACTGACAATTGCGCGGTCATGCAACACTGCACCCAAATTAAATTTACATCTTTTTTTTCCCACAAATTGAGCTTTCTTTCGGTGGTATTTGATCGCCTGTGCAGTTTTTATTTTTTGCGCTATAAAAAAAAAGGCTGACAATTTTGAAAAAAAAATATTTTTGGACTTTTTGCTATAAACATGTCCAGTAAAAAAATTTAAAAATCAAATTTAGTCATAAATTTCTGGCAAAATGTATTCTGCTCCGTGTCTTCGTTAAAAAAAAATCCCAATACGTGTAAATTAATTGGTTTACGTGAAAGTTATAGCGTCTACAAATGGCGGGAAAGATACTGGGTTTTGTTTTTTCATTATACTAATAATGGCGGCGACCAGCGATTTATGACAGTGATCAGCGACTTATGGCGGGAATGCGACGGACATTTTGACACTGGGGGGGGACTGACTTGGGGTCACTGACATCCCCAGTGACATCAATACAGTGATCAGTGCAAAAAAAAAAAACACTGACACTGTACTAATGGCACTTAGGAGGAAGGGGTTAACATTTTTTTAGGTAATGAAAGGGTTAACTGTGTGAGGGGAGTGTTTTACTAGGGGGCGGGGGGTGTGTACTTCAGGGGAACATGCTGATCCTGAGAGATAAACTCTTCTCTCAGGATCAGCTGTGTGCTCGGAACTGACAGAGAGCAGACTTGCCGTGTAAACACTGCAGCCGTGCTCCCTGTCAGTGATTGCCGCTAATCGCCGGGACCCGGTGATTGACACCCGCTGCTGCGACTGGCGGGACGGGTAGGGCGGGCACGCCTATCTGTTTTGCAGAGCGCCGTTTAAAAACGGCGTTCTGCGCAGCGGTGCCGCCCTGCCGCAGTAAAAACACTGTGGTTGGGCGGCAACCAGTTAATGAATTTTAATGCAAAAAAAACAAAATATAATAACCAATTTGTGGTCAAATATAAAAGTTGATGGTACACCAAGTAAATAGATAATTAATATGTCACACTTTAAAATGGAGCATGCTCGTGGAATGACAACAAACTACAATACTCCATAGGCAACACTTGTACAGGTTACTAGTTTACAGTTACTGAGGAGGTCTGGCACTAGAATTATTGCTCTCGCTGTAATGTTCATGGAGATACCTCACATGCGTGGTGCAAACAACGTTTACATACATGTGTGCGACCTACGTATGCGTTCACTTCTGCGCACAAGCACGGAGGGTAGGGGAGCTTGAAAAAATGTTTTACATTTATTTTTATTATTTTGTTTACATGACGCTTCACCGCGGCCAGCCAGTTCTGGGTGGACGTCATATGACGTCCTCCCAGAACGCGCTCTCCTGCGCGCCCCAGGGGGCGCGCACCCCGCGATCTCCGTGATCGCTGTGTCCTACGGACACAGCTGATCACGTGATGTGGTAAAAGGCCAATCACAGCGGCCAATGACACGCTGATCAGAGGGAAATGCAAGTGCCGGTTCTCGGCTGCACTTTCCTCACACTGTCAGATCGTGAGGAAAGTACTGCCGAGAACCGGCAGTTGTCAGAGCGGGGATCGGCACCGATCATCAGGGCACTGATGATCAGTGCCCTGATGATCGGTGCCCAGCAGTGCCACCCGCAAGTTCCGCCCAGCAGTGCGCCCACTAGCTCCGCCCACCCGTGCCCAGCAGTGCACCCACCTGTGCCCAGCAGTGCACCCACCTGTGCCACTCTGCAGTGCCACCTACCTGTGCCCAGAAGTGCCACCTACATGTGCCCAGCAGTGCCACCCACCTGTGCCCACCCACCTGTGCCCACCAGTACCACCCACCTGTGCCCACCCACCAGTGCTGCCCACCAGTGCCACCCACCAGTGCAGCCCAGCAGTGCTGCCAGTCAGTGCCACCAGTCAGTGCCCAGGGGTTGTGCCAGTCAGTGCCGCCAGTCAGTCTGCCAAGCAGTGATGCCAGTCAGTGCCGTCTATCAGTACCCATCATCAGTGTCACCTATCAGTGCCGCCTATCAGTGCTGCATATTAGTGCCGCCTATCCGTGACACCTCATTAGTGCTGTCTATCAGTGCCACCTATCCGTGCCACCTCATTAGTACTGCCTATCAGTGCCCTTTAGTGCTGCCTATCAGTGCCCATCAGTGCCGCCTATCAGTGCCCATCAGTGCTGCCTCATCAACGCACATCAGTGAAGGAGAAAAAATGCCTGTTTGAAAAATTTTATAATAGAAACAAAGAAACTTTTTTTTTTTTTTTTCAAATTTTTTGCACTTTTTTATTTATAGTGCAAAAAGTAAAGTGCCCAGCGGGGAGTAAATACCACCAAAAGAAAGCTCTATTTGTGAGGAAAAAATGATCAAAATTTCATATGGGTACAATGTTGCATGACCGCGCAATTGTCAAAGTGCGGCAGCGCTGAAAGCTGAAAATTGGCCTGGTAAGGAAGGGGGTATAAGTGCCCGGTAGGCAAGGGGTTAATTTCTTTTTTTAATCATTTTTATTCTTATCACAAGAAATGTAAAATCTCCCTGTGATAGAAATAAGGCATGACAGGTCCTCTTTATAAAGATATCTGGGGTCTATAATACCCCGGATTTCTCTTCTACTCTTGAAAGTATCTGATGGAAAAAAAAACTGATATTATGCTTTAAAAAAATATTTTAAATCCTAGACTGAAAGTGACGTCATGACATTGCTCCAGTCCTCCTAGATCATAGAGGTTAGGAGAGATGATCTGGTCTATCCTCGCTTATTTGGCCAGCTACGCTAACCGCCAGATCATTTCCCAGGCTCAGAACAGTAAGCCCGAGAAACACCGGGGAGCCCACTCCTCCCACTGCTTCTAAAAGAGATCCAGCGGTTAATCAGATGCTCAGATCGCTTTTATGAGAAAGAAACACTGACTGAAACATAAATACTGGGGTTACGGTTGACACCTTCTAGAGAGTATGACAGGAGAAGACAAACACACATAAACTGCATCCTGCTATCGATCAACATAAACTCCACTCCAAGCATTGAAATGATTATTACAAATATTGTGTGTTTTAAATAAACATTGTCAATGTATATAAGCAAGCATTCATTCCATTATCTTTTTTAAATGATTTTACATTCTTTTAGATAATTATGGTTACATGATCACCTGTGTCAAGTGGGTTGGACCACAGGGTAGAAAAGAGCAAGTAATCCTATGTCCAGGGGCGGACTGACCATTTGGAAACTCTGGCACTGCCCGAGGGCCCGGGGTCAGTAGGGGGCCCCATGAGATACCCCTGGTACCTTTTTCATAGGCTTTTTTGAGTTTGAGCAAGGACACAGGGGCCCCATGATCCCCTATTGCCCGGGGGCCTCATGAGTTGTCAGTCCGCCCCTGCCTATGTCCATCTTGAGGGTGGAGTCCCCCCCCCCTCCCCCAAGACCCATAAACATGTCACATGGGGTGGGGGGAAGATGCTGACAACATCAGAAAGAATTCCGCTTTTATGACAATGACCATCATTTTAATAAATCGAACATGCTTTTAATGGGCTTTTCATTAGGGTTAGGGTCCAGGACACATCACAGGTAATGAGCTCCATCCACAGGTTACCCAGTGACTCGCGGTTGAGTCTCACATTGATCATGTGACCAACTTATAGAAGATGAAGATAAAGGTATTTGCAACCATTCTACTGCTTCAATATACTGTATGACCCGTGGTTGTAATGCTTTTATATGCTGCACATACTGTCTGCAAGCAGACGACAGCGAGCTTAATTACACTTTAAATCCCCGCCCTCCAGAGGATTTCCCCCCCTTCATGACAGGACATTCTTTGCGTTACGCCGCTGCGTCACTTTAACTGACAATTGCGCAGCCATGCAATGCTGCACCCAAATTCAATTTACGTTTTTTTCCCACGAATTGAGCTTTCTATCAGTGGTATTTGATTGTCTGTGTGTTTTTTTATTTTTTGCGCTATAAGCAAAAAAAAAAAAAAGAAAATTTTGAGAAAATAAACCAATATTTTTGACTTTTTGCTATTAAACATTGTAGTATATTGTGTGTAATATATATATTGAAGACATTGAAACACATACTGACAGGCCAGTGATAAGACCACTTTTTTTTTTTTTTTTTTTTTCTTAAGTCCGCAAACGTGCAACTATAACGAAAAAACCCGTAAGTGTTCAGAAAAAAGTGCAAGTGCAAAACACCACACAAAAAGTGCTTTTGTCCTACCCCCGAAGGGGTTGGACCGCTACCCTGATCCCCCGGGGCATGAAGCTCCTGACAGGGACAAGGTTCCATTTGGTCCTCCTGGCCAAAAGGCCTGGTGGACCACCGTTCCTTATGCCCAGCCGAAGCCGGACATCCAGTACTAGGCCAGGGGGTTCTCCCGAAGAGAAAACCCCCTAGGGACAGGGGAGGAAGGAACCGTAGGGCCACACATCCTCCCCCTAGACTTCAGGGCAGGCCCGAGGACCCACACCCTCCATCCTGTGAAAGAAAACACACACAAAAGTAAAAAGTGACAAACGTGGGGTGAGGAAAATAAATAAATAAATAATTAAATAAATCTATAAAAATAATAAAAAGTGTCGTGCCCAAATTGTGCACTGACCAGACCCTGAGGCCTGTAGCAAAAAAATTGCCCAGAACTTGACCAAAAGGCCCGGTCCTAGAGGCGCAGTGCAAAAAGTGTTTAAACTCGGTGACCATGTGCTCATTCACAACGTGGGGTCCCACACCCAAGTGCTACTCAGAGCACCCCTGAGGCGACTACTCAGGGGGCACCGTGTTTTTGCAGACTCTCTGCCTTCCCAGCCCCTGGCCAGACCAAGGTAGATCCGTCCAAATCAGGAGGTACTGGGTCTTTCCAGTCTTCTCGGAGGAATTACTCCCGGGGCCCCAGCATAACTCGTGGCGCTCCCCGGTTTCTGTCCCTCCGGTACTAGCCTTCCGGACCCCCATCATACCATTGAGGGTACTATACAACAACCATCCCCGCAAAGCTAGAATGGCCGGGAGCACCCCCACTGGACACTGATAAGAACAGATACTACACTTGATCTTAGCCAAAAGGCCGAGAACCACTTTACCACTTTACACACCAAAAGGACTCCTTACTATGTTAATGTATGCAGGAGGTAATTACCTTCCCTTTGTTGTGTTGGGTTAACCTGTTTTGGGTAAATATATGGAGTGTCAGGGGAAGTTTAAGAACAGGTTAGTTGCAAATAGATTGGGAAAAGTCTTAAATATTCATGATGTGCTTGTTTATGGTGAAGAGAGAAGATTTGCCATAAACAAGACAAGTAGTATCTGTTTAACTTTTTAATTAAAAGCTATGCATACAGCTATTCTAAGTCTAGACACATAAGATCAAACATGCTAATAAAAGTGGCCAATCAGAGTGCTTGCCATTGTACTGAATGGGGAAAATGTGTATATTAACACAGGACACAGAACACAGGATAGTATACTTGGGATAGAGCACAGGTCAGGATACGTGGGACAGAACACAGGTTGCATGGAAGCTACCTAGTTGCATATTATAGATTGGACATATGCTGGATGGTGTAGTATCTCTATGCTTGATATGGAGTATCTTGAATGGGACTTTGAGAGCTGTTGTTCGTTGTAATATTTACAAGTATTCAACTGAATTTCTATCATCTGTAACAAATATCTTTATCCGAATAAATGCATCTCTCTGGAAAAGGACTATTGGTTGCTGGGGGAATAGTATATATATAAATATACACGGGTCATACGTCCTCCATTATTGATATAAGACAACAGATTTGTCTTATGAACTGTTTCTGTGTGGACTTCATTATTTTAAGACAACAAACATGTCCAGTAAAAAAATGTTAAAAATCTAATTTTGACATAAATTTAGGCCAAAATGTATTCTGCTCCGTGTCTTTGCTAAAACAAAATCCCAATACGTGTAAATTAATTGGTTTACGTGAAAGTTATAGCGTTTAAAAATGGCGGTATAGATACTGGGATTTTTTTTTTTTACTAGTAATGGCGGCGATCAGTGACTTTTAGCAGGACTGCGGTGGACATTCTGACAGTGGGGGTAACTAACTTGGTGTCACTGGGATGTCAGCGCTAAAAAAAAAAACACTGACACTGTACTAATGGCACTGGGCAAGAAGGGGCACTGAGCAGGGGAGTGTTTTACTAGGGGGCGGGGGTGTGTATTCTTCACTGTAAGCACACTGATTGGGATGGCTGTACTGTGTACAGCCATCCCAAGCAGTGTGCTTGAGCTGACAGGGAGGAAGATTGTAAACAAAACAATCTTCCTCCCTGTCAGAGATGCTCGGTAATCACCGGGCGCCAGTGGGTAATTACTGGCCAGGACCTGGTGATTGACATCCATGGTCGTGAATGGCGGTGCGGGTAGGGCGCATTTCCCCCTACCCGAAATGCAAAATGACGTATATATTCGTGATTCTGCGCACAGGTGCCACCCTGTAACAGTATATCTGCTATAGGGTGGTCTTTAAGCAGTTAAGGTCCTTCTTAAGTTTATCTGAAAGTGGGTAGAGAGCAATGTGGGAGCACCAAGATTATGCTGTGGTGAAAATATTGGTATACATCATACATACAAACATTTAGCAGTGGTAAGAAGGAAACTATTACACACATACCGTATTACAAATATAACAGGTATTATTTGTTATACTTGCACAAATGTTGAGACAATATCTTTGACTTTTTGCTATTAATCACGTCCAACATTTTTGCAAGTCAAACCCACTCTACTAGCAATTATGTGTTTTTGACTTGCACAAATGTTGGACATGTTTAACCACTTCCTGTCCGGACACTTTTACCCCCTTCCTGTCCAGGGCAATTTTTAGCTTTCAGCGCTATCACACTTTGAATGACAATTGCGCGGTCATGCAATGCTGTACCCATATGAATTTTTTACCATTTTTTTGAGACAGATAAAGCTTTATTTTTGGTGGTATTTATTCACCGCTGGGATTTTTATTTTTTTTACTATGTAAATGAAAAAGTCCAAAAATTTTGAAAAAAAAGTGTTTTTTTAAATAAAATTTTGCAAATAAATAATATTTCATCATAAATCTTAGCCAAAATGTATTCCGTTATTTT